AAATACAATCCAATTTTAAAATGGGCAGAGGATCCAAATAGATATTTTTGGCCAAAAGAAATGTTAAAAACAACCCACAAGAGGCTGGGCGCAGTGGCTCACGCCTCTAATCATAGCACTTTGGGAGGCCGAGGCAGGCGGATTGCCTGAGCGCAAGAGTTCAACATTAGCCTGAACAACACGGTGAAACCCCATCTCTACTAAAAATACAAAAAAATTATCCAGGCATGGTAGTGTGTGCCTATCATCGCAGCTACTCAGGTGGCTGATGCAGGAGAATTGCTTGAACCCAGGAGGTGGAGGTTGCAGTGAGCCAGGATCCCACCACTGCACTCCAGCCTGGGCCACAGAGTAAGACTCTAAAAACAACAACAAACAAAAAGAAAACCCACAAGATAGGTTTGGGAAGAAAAATCTGATATCCTAAAGAAAGCCAAGACATTATGTTACCATCCAGTCAACAAAAGACCTCACTAATCTGTGTTCTGGGCCAGACCCATCCATCGAAGGGTCAGAAATTGCACAACCAGAACTGACCTCTTTCTATTCCACCTGAGTCAGTTTTAGGGTAGTATGATGAGTTCCATTGGTCAGGCTGTGAGCCCGCTCTGTTCCTTATTTTATAATGTGATGATTGGACCTTTCACACATCTTCCCTGATATAATAAGTGTGTCATCCTTAGAGGAAGGCATTGCTATCTCCATTTTGCAGATGAGAAAATGAGGTTCAGAATAAAGTAATTTGCATAACACTCCCCCAGTATAAGTGCTGATGCCAGCATTTTAAAACCCATTTCTTCCTGCTTCCTGGGCTTACGTTATTTTCTCTATAACACACTGCCTCTTGGGTCATAAATTTATTAGATCATAATAAATATCTTTCAAATCCTGGTATCAGAATGGAAGGCACTCTTCTTTGTTTGGACAAGAAGAATCAAGAGAGGACTTAACTGGTTCTTGGAGTTGACAGCAGTGAAAATATCAGCAGTGATAACAGAGCATGGGTAAATCATTTATATTTTTTCCCTGCATCTAAGTAGCTTTAGGTGATAAGAGGCAATGATGAAATGAAAAAAGCACAGGACACTAGACAAACTAATCTAGTGTTTATGACAATTTGACAAAGGAATAACAAAAATTCTTATATTTCTTTTTTGTTTTTAGAGATGAGATCTTGCTATATTGCCAGGCTGGAGTGCAATGGCTATTCACAGGAACAATCATAGTGCTCTACAGCCTTGAACTCCTGGGCTCAAATGCTCCTCCTGCCTCAGCCTCCTGAGTAGCAGAGACTACAGGCATGTGCCACTGTGCCCAGCTCTCTTATTAATATATTTCTTATCTACATTACCACAATTATTATGCAAACACACAGAAACAATAAGCAACCAAAATATTTGTAGACAGTGGTATGGATAAATGAATTGTGTACATTCACCAAATGAAATATAAGGGCACTAGTTGTGGTGCTTTTTCGTTTTTGTTTTTTGGGTTTGTTTTTTGTTTTTTTAGATGGAGTTTCACTCTTGTTGCCCAGGCTGGAGTGCAGTGGTGTGATCTCAGCTCACTGCAACCTCTGTCCCCCAGGTTCAAGCAATTCTCTTGCCTCAGCCTCCCAAGTAGCTAGGATTAAGGTATCCACCACCACACCCAGCTAAATTTCTGTATTTAGTAGAGATGGGGTTTCACTATGTTGGCCAGGCTGGTCGCAAAGTCCTGACCTCAGGTGATCCATCCACCTTGGCCTCCCAAAGTGTTGGGATTACAGGCGTGAGCCACTGCGTTTGGCCAAGGACACTAGCAAAAAGAAATGAATATCAACTACAGACAATGATACAAATGAACTCATGAATATTAGAAACTTGGAGGAAACAGACACTACATACATTATTATACATTTGCATAAAGCTCAAAAACAAGCAAAGCTAAACAACTTGTTTAGAAATGCATCTGGTAAGAGTAAGTGTGGTATTTTTTTTATTTTTGTGTAGACATTTAGTCTTTTGTAACAAAGCAACTTGTACAGTTTTAACATTTAAAACTGAATATCATCTTTCCTTTCCAGTAAACTAAAATTTAAAAATAAACAAGGACAAAATTACAATAGAGAATGCCAATTTCAAATGAGATCCTACAGATTCTGCTATTTCTCTTGTCAAGTGACAGGGCTCAAGTCATCGGTAGGAGAGAATTCATTTTAGTGTCATCTTAAACTGCAAGGATGCCCAGTAAACATCACAATTATTTTTCACCAAACTGATGCTTTAAAAAAAATCACAGTTAAACATACCAAAGGCGAAGCCAGGTTGTCAAAATGCCCACTTCACCCACCCAAACATCTCAAACCTAACCTTTACTGACTTTCTGGAGCCCCATTAAAAAAAAAATTTTTTTTTAAACGAAAGAAAGTAGACAGATGCATGTTGGTAAATGCTAATTGTCCTTATTCACAAAGAGACACAGAGTTCTTTCTGAGAAGGAAAAAAGCTAGAATTCTATGTTCTACCACACAGGGGTCTTAACACCCTCCAGCTTCCAGCAGAGCAAAGGAAGCCTGTTTTTCTTTTTTCCCCCACAGAGCTCAGTGGTGTTGATTCCATACAGTTTTTGTTGAGACAGAAAGGGATAAAAATGAATTCAAACAGAAAGGGGTAGAGACTCTTTTCCTCTTGTATTCTGTTCAAGGTGCCTCTTCTTCCTCTTCCCCAAGCAGTGCAGACACTTACAGATGTGAAACTACTTTTGCAAAATTATGGGAGTAAGATAAATCTGACATAGTTGACTCCATCTTGCTTCTAACCTCCAAGCTGTCTTTTGTCATTCCTGGGTATAGGCTAAGCTAATCTGGGGAATAATTTAGTTTAGATTTTAACCTTAAAGCAAGGATGATAATAGCCCTTCCCAAAACTAAACCACCCTTGTAAAACTAATCAAAGACCACAAAGTAAGGATTATGAGAGGGGCCAAAATTCTGCTAAATTGTAGGCATAAACAACTGTTCCAGATGTCACAAGATTTGTAATTTACTAATTACTTTTGTAGGTAACATCATTACTATAGAACCTAAGGTTGGCCTTTTGAGATTTTTTTTTTTTTCAGATTTTGCATTTCTGATGATGGGATAACTCTACCCAGATGACTACCTGGACTGAAACTCATGACTCAACCGGTCCTATGGCCCCCACTCAGAGGCTGACTCAGTGCACGAGGACCATTTTCCACACCCCTATGATATCATCCCCAACCAATCAACATTTCTCACTCCCTAGTCCCCTGCCCACCAAACTATCCTTGAAAACCCCTAACCTCCAAGCCTTTAAGGAAATTGATTTGATTAATGACTCTATCTCCTGTGTGGCCGGCCTCGCTTCAATTAAACTCTTCCTCTATTACAATGTCATGGTCTCAGTGAATTAATTTGATCTGTGCAGCAGGCAGGAAGAATCTGTTGGGTGATTACAGATGGTTGACAAATGCTGTTACCCCAAAATTTGGGATTTTGGTGATCAATTCTGACCCCTTCTGAAAAAACGCTTGGCAGAGTTTGTTATATCTCTGTTCTACTGTCAAAATCTTCTCACTGGCTAGTTCATTACATCTATCTATTTCATTTTCTGCTTCATCAGTATGTTCAATTGCTTCTTGCTGTTCTTTCTCCCTTCTTCAGCAAGCCCAGAGATGCTGATGTCTCCATCTGTCTCAGAGGAGAAGGTGGTCTTTGTTTCTTATGAGGCATGAGTTTCATACTGGCATATGAAAGCTGTGCTGTGAGGAAAGTCCAGGAACCAGACATGAGTCTCCTGGCTCCTTAGAAGGAAGCTCAGAAAACTCAGTAATTTGCTTTTAAAGAAGGGGAATGCAAACTTCAGGGGAGCAGTTATTTTGGTGGGAGAGGCAGACATCATGGAGGACAACCCAGATATTAATGTTCCAACCCCTGTGTGTTTATATGTCAATAGTCTTCATAACTTACATATATATTATACATTATGTTTATTATTTATTATATATAATATTGCATAAAAAATTTTAAGATAAAATATATTTTCTGTCATCATATTGTGGAGCAAAGTCTTAAAAGATCTTAAGATCCACTGATTTTCCTTGATAAGCTAAGGATTGTAGGAATTGAGAAGAGAAACAAAGTAAATCTAAATTTTGGTGCAAAGGGCCCAAAGTGCATTTCTCCAGCCAACATTTAGAGTAGCCATCATCAGCTGCTACAGCTGTTTCCTGAAACCCAGGATCCGTTTCCCAACTTGACTCTAAATACCTCAGAATTACTGAACAGGCTCATGTTAGCTAGCCGGCTGGCTTCCACCAGATAAGACCATTTGACATATTATGTAACCACTTGAAGAGTTTATCTTTTGATTCACCAGGATAAATCTTCAGTCCAAAACATTAAACAGTCATTTTTCAAAGACTGAGAAAATAATGAACATGATCAGCAATTTCCTGCCATTCTTTGTGTCCTTGATGCTCCAAGGTGAGAGTTCATGAACTAAATGGGGAGTACTGGAAAAGCCTTTTGGGGCCTGGATTTATGATTGGGAGTTTTCCTTCTGAGTCCAATGCCCTGCACATTTATGACTTATTTTCAAAGAGAAATGGAACTATCTGACATATTTCTGACTTGGTTTTTAATTCCTCTTGTCCTCATGTTAGTCTCGTAGAGAAAGTGGAGAGGAAAAATGAGGAGTAGGGCAGGATAATAGGTGGGGACAGGAAATGGGAAGTAGGGAGAAGAAGAGGAAATGTAAAAGAGAGAGCAGAGAGAGGGAGATGGGGAGAGGGAGGAGTGAAGAGGTGTGGCAAAAGGAAGTGGGAAAGGGAGTTGGGGAGGATAAGTCACATGGTGAGCAAACAGTTTCACACACTGTGCTTGATTATTTCCATAGAGATCATCTCATTTACTTCTCATGACCTGTGTGCTAGGTCAGGAAGCTTGCAACTAAATAAAGACGGAAGCCTTAGATTCACACAGTTAATAATATTGGATGCTCTGGTTTCTCTTCAGAACAAATAAATCTTTGGCCTTTTGCTAAAGATTTCCATGGTGAGGAACAATTATGAATTGATAATCAAATTTTTGAGGTCCTACTTAGGCAGGGCCAAGTAAATAATAATAATATTTATAAATAAGTAATAATGATTGGATTAAACTCCAGATCTTTCTGACTGCTCCTAGTGCCTACCCCTGGGAACTGGAATTTCAGAAGGTAGTAAGTAATGCATTAAGGAGCAGGGGTCTGAAGCAATAAGATGAGGACCCCAAATATGCAGGGTATGCAAGGGCAAGTTTAAAGGGAACTAACAAGGAATGGTGCATTACGTTGGGGTTAGCAACTTCCTGAGAACTAAGCTCTGGGAAAGGGCTACCCAGGTACCACAGCCGTCAATACAAGAATGCAGCTAATGACAGCCTACAGAGAGGCAGGGTAGGAGTCACAATATATCACCCACCCTTCTCTACCACCCTTCTCCAATGTCCTCCATGGAAAACTCTCATCTTCTACCAAAAAGAAGAGTATTTGATCATTTTTGACTAGTCTTGCTAACAATTTCATTGAACAGAAGGTAACAAAAGAAATGCGACAGACACTTCATTCTGAGCAGTCAAGAACAATTGATTAAACCGAAGTGTGAAGAACTTTGAAGAAAGGGATTGATTGTGTTATCTGAAGATCCAAAGGCAAGGAAGATAAGACTGGTTGTAGACTTTAGGAAGACACATTTCTACTGATCCACAGAAAAGACAGAATCACATAAGAAATAGTATCAGGGGACCTAATCCAAGCTAGAAGCTCTAAAAATATACTTTTGACTATTTAATAAGAATACTGTAGGCCAAGCATGGTGGCTCATGCCTGTAATTCCAGCACTTTGGAAGGCCAAGGTGGGCAGATTGCTTGAGCCCCGGTGTTCAAGACCAGTCTGGCCAACATAGGGAGACTCTGCTTCTACTACAAAAAAATACAAGAATTAGCTGGGTGTGGTGGTGCACACCTGTGGTCCCAGCCACTTGGGAAGCTGATGTGGAAGGATCACTTGAGCCCGGGAGGTAGATGCTGCACTGAGCCGTGATCATGCCACTGCACTTCAGCCTGGACCACAGAGCAAGACCTTGTCTCAAAAAAATTTTTGTAATACCATTTAAAAATAGAGAAATAATTTAATAATTTTTTGCTGTGAGCGCAGGTGTTTGAAAGGATAAGAAATAACCACGACAACCTTTCCCACCTCACTCGTACTCCAGGGAAGGTTTCAAGCATCCTGAACAAGGTGAAATTCTCACATACTTGAGGTCAAAGCTCTGGGCAGGAGGGCTATGGGCTTTGTTGATTCTTTCCTCTGGCCCCCAGCAGAGTGCCACAGGTATAGGTTGAGAAATCCCCATCAGAGCTTGGAGGGGTCCAGGAGAAAGAAATGGAAGGTGGCTGCTCAATGATCACAGGTATCCAGTCCTTCAGTCAATGAAAAGGGAGCTCTTGACCTTTCTACACAATCCATCTCAAGTTCCCAATGCAGGTGGGCAATTAGGGACGCAGAATATGCCACGAATAGCAGCATGCATTTATCATCCAGGGTCCTGCCAGGAAACAGATGGCAAACTCACATGGGGTAAGTGAGAAAGGTTTAATGAAGAACTCTCTGTAAGGGCAAGGGCAAGGTTAAAGGAAACTAAAAAGGAATGATGCATTGCCTTGGAGTTAGCAACTTCCTGAGAACTAAGCTCTGGGAGAGGGCTACCCAGGCACCATAGCCATCAATACAAGAATGCAGATAATGACAGCCTACAGGGAGGCAGGGTAGGAGTCACAATATATCACCCACCCTTCTCTATGGCCCTCCTCCAAAGCCCTGAGTGAGCTGCACATTGCCAGAGGGCAAATGAGCCCTGATGTGGTCCACGGAGCAAGGCAGACAAGGATGGAGAGTAGACCAGACAGGCAAACAGAGAGTAGCCACCACAATCATTCTAAAATTATAAGGATGTGCAGGGACTTAGCTACAAGGATATTCATCACAGCATTATTTGTAAAAGCAAATATATGAAAATGACCTAAAGGTTTGATAGGGAGAAAAAAAGGATGTGATGCCTACATGAGGGCAGAGACTGTCTTGCCTATTTTTATATATAAACTGCAGCAATTGGAATAATGCTTTGCATAGAAAACATTCATTAAATGCTAGTGTGGGCTGGGTGCAGTGGCTCACACCTATAATCTCAGAATTTTGGGAGGCTGAGGTGGGTGAATTACTTGAGCCCACCATAGAGGCTCATGCCTGTAGTCCCAGCTACTCAGCTACTCAGGAGGCTGAGATGGGAGGATTGCTTAAGCCTAGGAGGTAAAAGCCGAAGAGAGTTGTGATTGCACCACTCCACTGCACTCTAGCCTGGGTGACAGAGCTAGTGTGGAGGTACATTTACTGACATGAAAAGATGTTCATGATTCAGTTAAATAAGAAATAGGTCACAAAATTATGTGGTAATGATCTTATTTTATTTGATAGCTGGCTACATAGATAGAGAATACAGATTTGGAAAAGCATATATGGAGATGGTTAAAGTGAGGAATGATGCTCAGAGGGAGACTGTTTTGTTTGGGTTGGGTTGGTTTGGTTTGGTTTGGTGCTTCAGTTTCTGATTTCTCTGTAGTGAATACAATTTGTTTTTGTAGTAAGAAAAATCCATCTTTTTTTCTATTTTACTTATAAAACAGTGTTGGTTTTCCTGGTATTTTCCTCTCCCTTTCCTGCATTATCTCATGCTCTATAACCTTGAGAGTGGCAGCAGATGGCAGGGCAAGCATGTGGATGGAGGGGAGGGGAGGGAATCCCACCATATGGGAATCATGACTCACAACTTTCACAGCTTATGGAGCACCGAGGACCAAAATACATACAGAAGAGTGGAAGGGGCTTAGAAAAACCTCCTGCTCCCAAGGCTCAAATCCTAGGAAGCTGAGATTTATAGTACATGCTGAGGATGACTAAAAAGTCTTTTTACGCTATATTGGAAGGAAGATGAACAAGCACGGTAGAGCATCACTGCTAGGTAAAGATGTCTCATTACCAGATGGCAGGGAGAGGCCTTCAATTCCCATTTTGCTTTAATCACAACCATAAATAAGACTTGTTTTTGATCTCTTCCTTGGCCATCATCATCACCAGCAGCAGCAGCAACATCAGCATCATCACCACCATTATCATTGTCACCTCCTCCAAAATTTCCACTAATATCATCATCTCCATTCCAGACAGTTAAACGTCCTAAGAACAGCAATGTCTTATCCTCTTGTACACACTAGAACATTCACATAACCTTACATAGTTCGGTAAACATGAATTGACCAAGAGAAAGTCTCTCCTATTAAATGAGAAGATAACATGCTGCTGGTAGGAAGAGATAATATACCGGATGAAAAGTTTGTAAACTTTAAGCCAACATTTCAAAGGGAGAAAACTTTTGAATCATGTATCCCCCTGTGTTTATATGTATTTATTTACAAATTATATACATGTTCTGCCAGTATAGTTCAGTATTATGTACATTATAAAATACATATAAATTAAAGTTTTTTCATGTTGCCATGAAAAATATAATTTTTGGGTGGTTTGCACACCCTGCATGGGAAACCACTATTCAACATCAGAATCAAAAGTTTTTGAAATAAATCTATAAAAGGAGCTGTAACCAACAATAGGAGATTAAATATAGATGAAGAAGATCAAATGCCGCATTTTGAATTCCCAAACTGAGCCCAAGTTGAGGAATTTAATATGCAAGCACAGTCTTGTAATACCAAAACATCACCACCAGATGACTTCTAGCTCTAGTGATTTAATATGGGTGGACTGAGCAATAAGCAGCATTTAAAGAAAAGCCAACCTTGACAATTATTCAAATGTACCAGATGGTGCCCTGTTCTTGCTACTACCACTATTTAACACTGCTGTATTAAATTGCTAAGGATTTGTTGGAACAAAATAAGGTCTCAGAGGGCAGAAGGAATATGTGCTTGATTCCATCACTTTTGGAAACTGCCTCAATACCCAGGCAACCAGAAATTTTCAATTACCCAAGGGAGCCCTGTTTCTCATCCCTATGGGAACCAGTATTGTAGGCTCTGGGTTACTAGTTATTAACCACAACAGAAGGGGAAGAAGGAGGGGGCCATCCTTGTTAATTCACCAGTCTAGTTTCCTCGCACAATTCTACTCAAGCCTAGATACTGATGTCAAAATTTGAGATCAGATTAGGGGACTTCTGCAGAAACTATCACTCCCAAAGAAGGGAGATGAGGCAACCAGAGTGTGCCCTGAGTAAGATAACCCTTCAGCCACAGTGGCTTTATGGAAAGTGGTATGAAAATAGATAGAACAAAGACTTTGGAGTCAGACAGATCTAGGATGGAATCCTCCATCTGCTGCCTGCTGCCTGTGTGACACTGGGCAAGCAACCCAACTTCTCCATTATAAAATGCAGTCAGGAAAATATCATAATATATTTTAGGCTTATTGTGAGCCTTGGAGATAATATTTTTGGAGCATCAACCACAGGATCCAGGCTCACCAACTATTTGGTCCTGCCTATAGATTTTAATGCCTGAGGCACTAGTTTAAAACACAGATGCTCAGATTTCTCCTGATGGCATAAACCCAGGGTGGGTCCCTGCCTCTGGGGAATCTCTCTATATTTTTTTAAGAAGCCTCAGCAGGGTGAGGTGGCTCACACCAATAATCTCAGCACTTTGGGAGGCCAAGGCAGGAGGATCACTTGAAGCCAGGAATTTGAGGCAACGCTGGGCAACACAGTGAGACCCCATCTCTACAAAAATAAAGATAAAAATTTAAAACTTAGCCGAGCCTGGTGGCATGCATCTGTAGTCCCAGCTATTTGGGAGGTGGAGGCAAGGATGGCTTGAAGCCCAGGAGTTCCAGGCTGCAGCGAACTAGGATCATGCCATTGCACTCCAGCCTGGGTGACAGAGCGAGACCCCATTCTTTAAAAATAATTTTGAAAACAGAAGTCCTCTTCTACCCCAGGTGATTCCGATTGTCAAACAAGTTTAGGAACCCCTGAACCAACAGTTACTTACCATTATTGT